TGTATTCGGCCTCCATTCAGTGAAGCCTTCTCTCACACCCATGGCATGCAGATGTTAATGGTCCCTGCATCCCTATCTCACCCCTGTCACCCACTCATGTACCCCATGTGCAGAGTAACAGGGGGATAATGCAATGATGCAGAAGAGAGTAAAAACATGTAATAACTGGAGGCTGTAGCAAAGTGCACACACCCAGTGCTATGCTCAAAATTCTGAAATAAAAAATCAGCACAGTGGATAATTCCCAGTACATACATTCCACTTTTGAAACAACAAGAGGTCACTCAGAACGCCAACATACAGAGAGAATGTATGTATGGAGAATGATGTGGCAGTATCCCTGTTCTGGGTTGCATTGTTCCCAGGAGAGCATCTTATTCAACCACCTCCAATGTAGGTTCTCTGTGCGTGAAGGATTTGTTGCAGGTCACCGTGGTCTTCTTCCTCTCCTCCCCTGGTTCCTCCTCAAACAATTGATTCTGCTTCTATTCATATATAACACATCTGTTCTATGTGTCACAAGTTTTCAAACTGCCCTTCATTTAATTCTTCTACCTTTCTCCTCTGATCTCTCCCCACCCAGTGTTATCACTACAAAACCTCTCCTTAACTTACAATACATAACAACGACATTTTCAAAGGCTCTTGAGATGTCATTTTATCTTTAGATTTCACTCCCGCCTTGGCAACAAACTACATTGTAACTCCAGACACTATTGCTTAATGCGCACACACTTCACCTATCTTTCTAGACTTGTTAACATCAAAGTAGTCAATTATTTTCTATGATGCCTGGTAGAATAAGGAAAACTAGCTATGCCAAAAATAATGGAATGTTCCGTTCAATTAGAGTCTAGCTAGGAGATGTCTAGGACTTAATGAGAGCTTTAGGATTGATAATAAGGTAACTGACATGCTCTGCATGAAATAATATGAAGTTAAGTCATAAATTTGATACTGCCGTATTTCTGAATTGGAGCTGGGGCTGTAATGATCTTTCCTGGTTTAAGAGCCAAACAGTTGAAAAGATGCATGGGAGAGGCAGTGCAATTTGGAGGGGAGAGGCAGCAGTTGGGGAATGTTTGCTTTACCCTGATTCCTCCCCATTGATTCTCCCCTGCATGCCTTGACCATAGCTGCTTTTCCACTGGCTGCATCTGAGAAATCCATATCCAAGAAACCCAGTTTCATGGAGAAGAGGGGCCCAGATGTTGCAGGAGAAATGCAATAAATGAGGGAAACCAAAGCACCTTTCCCCATTCATTAGATACCCAAAGCTTGAAAATGAATGACTTACTCATGCCCTGGTCTTTCCCTTTGAGTGTTCATTTTTTTTGCTACCTTTTTTCCTTTTGCAATAATGAACCCAAACCAGGGCCAATCTACATCCTATGTAGCTGCCGCTGAGACTCCTTTTCCCATGTTTTGGGACATTTATGCTTTACCCAGAGATATGAAAGTATTCACTGCCACCTCCATCTCTTTATAGTGCCAGAGTTCGAGGCAACCTCTTTGTTAAGGAATCATACCATAACCCACTGACCCCTTTGCTGGCTTGTCAGTTGTGGAGAGTTGCTGATCCCACCACCTGAAACCTCAGAACTCTCTGAACTGGGCAGATTCCCTAACTCACCGGCATGCAAGCTAGCAGAATCTTTGAACCCCACCATACTGAAACATAGAATCTGGGTATAGTTGCCTTGTAGGTTCAGGCAAAGCAAGATTGTCCAGCAAAGCAAAACTCCACTTCCTAAATTTCCAAACCCTTATCACACCATGCTAGTGATCTATCTCCTTTTAATTCAGTTCTAAGGCTATAAGAGCATAAAAACAACAACCTGAAAGTACCTCCATTCTCTTTCCGAATAATTATGGCCAAGCCTTCTTTACTTGCTTTTGAATGCTGAGTAATCATCTTAGATCAATTGTCCTCTGCCTCTTGAGAATCCTGGCTTGAGTTGAACTCACTCAGTTCCAAGTACCATTCTAGTTTTCCTCATCAGCTGGGCTTTTTTTCCAGCTGGAACTCGTGGGACTGAGTTCCGGCTCTCAGATGGGCACCATTGCTATTATAAGAGAACAAAGGAGATGTTCATGGTGAGTTCTGCACCTCTTTTTCTATAAATTTAGCACTGGTTGTTGGTGAAATTTTCCTTGATCTTAGGGTGGTTTGACTTATGCTTCTGTGCATGCACGCGCGCACACACACACACACACACACACACCCCTCTCAAGTAGGCCTGGGAAGGCAAGTGGAATATGATTAGCAAACCTCAGAGAGGTTTCTTTGAAGGTGCAGCTGCAACTCTTTTCTCCTGATCCACAACCAATGAAAGTTCCTAGTGGTAAACATTTATACTGGTTCATTGTGTTGACACAATAGGCGATAAGAAACCTTAGTCTCTTACAGCAAGTTTAGGATTGTGGTATATATTCCAGGCATGTCCCCATCAAATTTAAGTGCTTTCCAGTCCCTGTGATTTCAGGGGCGAGGTTAAGCACCTTTTAACGTCTCTTTGTCTGCAACCAAAGGATCTTAAATGTCCTTAACTTTGGGTAGATGGTGCCCATGATTTTTAACCATGCTTTTAACTTAGTGGTGGTGTCTGAAATGAAATCTTTTTACAGAGAAGCTATTTTGCCTCCACGGCAAGTAGTATTTTTTTTTAAAAAAAACCAAACCACACTTATTTTAAATTTCCTGTACAGTAGAGCAGCATGTAGAAATTGTAGCCCATTTTATCATATAGTTGCATACCTTCCTGTTGCCTAAGGGAGGGCTGGGAATAAAACACTGCATTGGTAGCAGTGAAGTAAGTATCGTTATGACAAGGAATTTATTCTCTGAAAGGAAAGCAGATTCTCAGACTGTTCAAAAGAGAACTTTCCTGGAATTTAAACCATGCCCTTTTCTTTAGAGACAAGGATATCTAAAAGAGAATGCTGTAGTAGCTCCATGGAAAATGCTGCACTTTTAGAAAGCATATAACAAATATTTCTGAAGTTCCACTGATTTTAATGAGAGGGGTTACATGTGAAACCAATAGATTTGAAAGTACTTCACTTTTGGCTTGAGATTATTAGTTTTTCCATATCAAGACCTGGAAACCAGTTTTGGGGACTCGTAATGGTTGTTTCAAAACAAAATATGAGCAGTGAAATTCTTGTTTGTCTCAAAATTTTAGAATGCTCTCACCAGAGTGGCCTAACTGATTAATACTTTGCTGTTCTTTTGGTTTCAGAAAAAAAAACATTTCCATTTTCCTAGGCCTTTTAGACACAATTTAACTCATGCTATTTGCTTTTATCTGGCTTTTAAGGTCTCACTGCCGTTGTAGTTCTTGCATTCTCTTATTGTCCACCATTTGTTTTATTTATTTGTTATGTTCGCTGGTACTGTGAGAACTGGGAGATGGTACTTTCTTCTTCTATAAACCACCCTGGGAATTCTTACTGAAGGGCAGCATAGAAATATCTAAAACAAAATTAATAAAATAAAACCTGGGCAGGTGGGAAAGTCCCACCGGTAGATAATGAGGCAGCCAAATTTGTTCTGGGGGCAAGACACTGAATTTGTGTTGCTGAGTTTCAGCACTGAAAAAGGATTGTTATTTTTCTGACTGTGCTGATTATGCATAAAAATGAAGTTAAGAAGGTCATATTGCTGAATTTGAAGGGGGGGGGAAATGGCCATAGGTTTTATCGAAGTGCAAAGGCCTTGCAGAAACATGTAGCCCAGTTACTTGAAATTTGCTTATGGATAGATGTAGATATAAACATTTTCATGTGAGATGAACATACGAGAAGCTTCTTATGTGTCAACTTCATAAGGTGAGAGAGCTTTTCATATGCACCTCACAACATAGATTCAACCAAGCCTGTTTGCAGCCTTCCCACAGTTGTGCACTGTGAAAACAGCATGCTGAACTAGATAGGCCTTTGACTTGATCCAGCAGGGCTGGGGGTTTTTTGTTCTAATGCTCATGTTCTTAAGCTAAGGGGAAAGTTCATAAAGAGCAGACAAAACATCAAAGTAGTTACAAATTCTGAGCTTGACGTCTGCAGGTGAGTCCTGCTGTCGGTTAACAAAACCACATGCATCACACGATCCCTTGCAGAAGGTGTGCAAGTCTAGCTTGGTAACTGGATGGAAGGCCATTTCAGAGACATACGTAAGCCTCTCTGAACTCCTCAGAAAAAATAAAGAGTAATAAACTGTAAATTCTGAGCTTTCAGTCATGGTGGAAGAATTGTAATGATCATGCAAATAATGCAAGATGTGAATCCATACAAAGTCTTGATTGACAAGCCACCACGGGCTGTAGGAAGCTAAAGCCATATTGTCAGACTTGAGGCTGTACATACTGTTTGCTGATGGTTCTCATTTGCATTCTTTTGCAGAATCACATATTTAAGACCCTCCTAGCATGACAGCCACCAGTCATGTTGACAGTGAAACAATCATATGATAGGCTGCAGGCATAAATCATTAGCACTTCTGGGTAGGGTGGTAGAATTAACTTTGCAAAGATGCAGTACAAATATTTGAATGTAGATTTGTCATGTGCTATCACTCCTCGCCTCCTTGGCACAAGCAGAAAGCAACCCACCACATGGTGGTCATAAAACCAAGCTCTTTACATGAGACAATAACCCCATTTCAGCATAATAATTTGTTATCTATAACACAAACATGCACTAAGATGTGTATGCATGTACGTGTATTTATGTGCATATAGAAATATGTGGTTCCAGAAGTAAATGCCGTGTGTTCCAAAAACAGCTCTGAACTGAGATCTAAAGGAATATGAATATTGTAAGAACTGACATTTTTCATCTTGAAAATGAATTTTTCCGAAAAGCAGGGGAGTCAGTGGAAGTTTTATTTTTACATTGTCTTAGGGAAAATATTTTACCTATGCTGTTGGGTGATATGTGCAAAGCATAATCATTTAAGACTTTCCCCCTCTCTCTCCTTTTTTTCAAAAACACACTTTCAGGCTCGAATCACCAACTAGATCTTTGATAATGGAAGCTCCCAAGGGAATACAAGTGAGTGCAGCTGCAGGGGACTTAAAAGCTACCTGTAGAAAAGAACTACACTTGCAGTCCACAGAAGGGGAGGTAAGTCTGATAGGAGCACCATGACACAAAACACAGATGTAGGAAACACAACTCAAATGGTGCTCTGTTAGCCAGATCATCCCTACCACATACTTGTGTCAGCATGAAAAGATTACATCGGGAATCGTAGCATTTAACAGTGCAGCTCAAGGTTGTCAATACAATTTATGGCAAATGTGGCTCAAACACAGAGAAAAGCTTCAGATATTACAAGCAAGCTTTCCTGGTTGACTCTGGAAGAGACCGTGCAGGTGGCTGACATCCCTTCCTTTTACCATCAGAAGATACCCAAAGTTAAACGGTCATGGTTTAATTACTGGATTTCCTTTTCAGAATTGAATTGCTTCCATTTTCATTTGTTTTTTAATTGCAAACCAAGTTGTGGGCCATTATGGTGGAGAGGTGGTCTAGAAATGCATTAAATTACTAAGTCAGGAAAGAGATGTGATTTTAAAGGGCATATACACAGCTCAATGACACATTACATGAGATTCGTACCTCCATTCCCAATGTATACAGTATGCATCGATAGTGATCATATCCACATCATACATTTAAAACACTCTGCTACCACGTTGACAGTCGTGGCTTTTCCCAATGGGCTGAGGCAACCCAGTCAGATGGACAGGGTCCAAGTAGCTCTATGATGTCCTAAGACCTTTCAGCGTCCTTAACAACCCCAGAATTCTTTAGGTGAAGCCGTGGCTGTTAAAATGGTATAGGAGTGATTTAAGAGTGGATGTGAGCAGCACTGGAGTCATCAAGCTGACCTCAGAAATTCCATGCTGGGCAAGGCATTCCTACTGAGGAGTCCTTCCCAATCATAACCCAGCCCTACCAATCCATGTTGCTTCTTCTGACTTGTGTGGCATGTCTCAGAGCTATTCCCACATGTCACATGGCATGATGGCCATGTTTGTGACTTTTCAAGGGGAGGCAATTTTGTTGTCTGCAAAGGAGGCACTGTTGGGAAAGCAGGAGGCAGGCGTTGGCAGAATACAGGCAGTAAATGTCTGATGGTCCACATTCAGCTTTGCAGGTCACAAGTCATGCACAGCTGTCATAATAAATGACTGAAAATTGCACAGACATCATGCTTCCTTTCCTATGTGGCACTGATGACTAGGGGATATTTAAATGAACAGCAAATTCTATATATTTCAGTGTGCTGTGAATTATACAGTTCTTTTTCACTTTCACGGCTCTTTTCAAACTTCATTATTTTGATACACTAACGTACAAATATAATTGCTACATTAGTGATGAAAAATGCTTAGCTTACCTGCTCCTTCCACTTAGCGGTACAGTGGTGCCTCGCAAGATGAAATTAATTCGTTCCGCAAGTTTTTTCTTCTTGCGAGTTTTTCGTCTTGCGAAGCACGGTTTCCCATAGGAATGCATTGAAAATCAATTAATGCGTTCCTATGGAAACCGCCTTCAGACCAGGTCCGGGGACAGTCTGTCCCCCGACCTCTTCTGAAGGTTGGGGGGGGGGACAAGGGCTTTTCTTCCCACCCCCAGCATTTTAAAAAAACCCGGGACAGCGGAGGACTTCTCCGCTGTCCGGGGCGATTTAAAAGCCCCTGGGAAGGCAGGCAGGGGGGACAAAGACTTTTGCCCCCGGGGGCCAAAGTCTTTGCTCCCCCCCCCGCCTGCCTTCAAAAGCCGTCCGGGACAGCGGAGAAACGCGCTGCCTTTCTCCGCTCTCCCGGGAAGGCAGGCAGGGGGGAGCAAAGACTTTCGCCCCCCGCCCGCCTTCAGAAGAGGTCCAGGACCTCTTCTGAAGGCGGGCGGGGGGGGAGTCTTTGCTCCCCCCCGCCTGCCTTCAAAAGCCGTCCGCGATAGCGGGAAGCGCTTCCCTGCTATCCTGGACTGCTTTTAAAATGCTGGCGGTGGGGAGCAAAGCCTTTCGGCCCCCGCCTGCCTTCCTGGACCTCTTTCTGCCCCCCGCCGGCCTTCAGAAGAGGTCCAGGACCTCTTCTGAAGGCCAGAGGGTGGCAAAAGTCTTTGCTCCCCCCCGCCTGCCTTCAAAAGCCGTCCGCGATAGCGGGAAGCGCTTCCCTGCTATCCCGGACTGCTTTTAAAATGCTGGCGGTGGGGAGCAAAGCCTCCCCCCCTCCGGCCTTCAGAAGAGGTCCAGGAAGGCCGGCGGGGGGGAGGCTTTGCTCCCCACCGCCAGCATTTAAAAGAGGTCCCCGGAGATTTCCCTATGGGCTTTCTTCTTGCGAAGCAAGCCCATAGGGAAATTCGTCTTGCGAAGCAACTCGCAAACAGAAAACCCTTTCGTCTTGCAGGTTTTCCGTCTTGCGAGGCATTCGTCTTGCGGGGCACCACTGTACTGATAAATGGGCCACAGTTAAATCAAGATCACCAAAAGGAAGAAGTGTTAAAAGGTGCTATGAAAACTTTGATGACTTGCATGCTATTATATCCCAGCTTTCAGTTTTATATCCATATTTAACTATCGGTCCAAACCACACATGGCATGAAAATAACGATGGTTTGAATTGCTCCAAGAAGTACTTTATAGGTAGCCATTACACTGTCATGGAGTCCCATTGCTTTCCATAGGCTTGAGTCACACTAATGTGTCCCTCGGCAGCTGCTATAATGCAGGAAATACTTAAAGCCTCAGCCATGTATCAGTATTTAAGCTCAAGAGCTTTTAAAATGCTGCCGTCATGCTTTTACACCATTGTTGCCACTCTGAAGATCGTAAAAGGCATCAGTAAAAAGCTAACAGCAGTTGTAACAGTAAAACCCATTCTGTTGGTTCTGAGGGCTGTCAGTCTACAGCCCTCCATTGGAGTTTCTGCCAGTGAGCAGCCAGCCATTTCAGGATGCTTGCCTGGCCAATGGGAGCTCCATATGCCAATTGGACATGAGCTTTTTGCTTATATCTGTGGTAACCCTAGAGGTAAGTTATATAAAAAAGCGAATTCCTGCCATACTCCATAGCAAACTGCATCCAATCTATCCTTACTGGAAATGAGTGAGTCCCCCAATGCTGTCCTCAAATTAATACTAATAATACTTATTATTATTATACCCTGCCCATCTGGCTGGGTTTCCTGAGCCACTCTGGGCAGCTTCCAACAATTACCTTGGAATTGATACAGCTTTCTCCAAAAAGACATTGGTTTGATTTTCAAAGCTTCACTGTCTCCAAATGACACCTCCCAAACTCTCCCCTTTTCCTTCTCTGTCAGGTGGCAGTCATAGGCGTAGCAATGCTGGCACAAGAGGAAAGAAGCTGCTCCCTTTCCTTTGTCTCCCTCCACAACACGGGTCAGCTGTTGTGCAACTGCAGTCATACCTCAGGTTACGTTTTTTCAGGTTATGGACTGCCAAAACCCAGAAGTACTGGAACGGGTTACTTCCAGGTTTCGGCAGTCGCGCATGCGCAGAAGCGCTAAATTGTGGTTTGCGCAGACGCACCAAATCGCAACCCACACAGATCACATTTGCAAACCAAGTGTCCACTGTATTGCGCTGGGTTTCCTTTGTTGCACAACCTTTAAACAACTCCTGTGCTAGCGGACAGAGAATGTTCAACCAGACCCCATGTATTTATCATTCCCTCTATGCCTGATATCCAAAATGGTGCCATCCACACACGATAGGGAGGCATCTATCATATACACCAGGCAGCCACTATAAAAAACTGGCAGCGACCTACCCATTAGATTGACGAAAGTTGTTGAGCTTTTTTTTGGCAATCAATACAGCATGAAAAGAGCTTTACATTCTTTTTTCTTCTCTTCTCTTTTCCTCCTAGATATTTTTAAACGCGGACTCAATCCGATTAGGAAATCTACCAGTGGGAACTTTTTCCTCTTCCTCCTCCCCGCCGAGCTCATCAGCAGCTCGACAGACTATCTATGAGCTCTGCGTTTGTCCCAATGGTAAACTTTACCTTTCCCCGGCAGGAGCAGGCTCCACGTGTCAGTCCAGTAGCAACATCTGCTTGTGGAGCTGAAAAGACTCCCGACCCCTCCTCACACCAGAATAGCCTTTTTGTTACTGTCCCTCTGCTTCACAGTTCTGCCCGGTTTCCTTCGTCCCATCATGAAGCTCCGAAACAGCCCACAGAGCATCCTCTTCCGGTGTAAGCAGGAAGACAATGTGGCCTTTTTGTCTGGCTCGTGGACGTAAACGACTGGAAGAAAGAAGGGGGAACAAAAACGGTTGTCTTCATCAGGAAACCTGGATCTTAGTATCACCTTTTGTCCAAAAGGGAGAATAACACAGGTGCCTTTGCTATATATGAAGTGAAGCACATTGTTTTAGATTTTTGCAGGAACTGTAAATGAGAATCTGCACATATATATAAATATATATATATATATAATACATAAATATATATAGATAGATATAGATATAATGCTATACAAATTTTCCCAGAATCAAAAGGCGAGATGAATTGGTATAATAAATAATTCTACTGTCTGAAAGCACAATTTTCATATGCCCATCACTTTTGGATGTAAACTTTTATCCCTGATTTTTAAAACTTTTGGAGCATTGTGTGATGCTTGCTTTGCTAAACAATTAAAATTCAATTCACATTTTAAGCAGCAAGAGACAGAATCCCCGATCGCCAATCCGTTGTTACTGTTTATCTCCTACATTTGGGGTTTTGTAGGAAAAATTATTTGGATGCACTTAGCAATATAACCTATTCATGTTGAAAACAAGACCCAATTTTAGTTTTGTTCAGCACTTCAGTGATTACCTAGTGATTATATACAAAGCAATTTCTTTAAACAGTAGCATTCTGGGGTCAATGACTGGTCTGGGTCGGGGGAGAATATACCACTGAAGAAATTCCCATGATGATGTGATGGATAAATGGATGACCAAATACATATTTTTCTAAAGTTATAGAAGTTTATAATGGGAAAAAGAGCCATGCTTTGAGCTGGAGCCCCACGTACCTTGAGTTCTCACACGTGTGGGTTTCCTCATCCATTACAATGGAGACAGGAAATGCATGCGCACACATGAAAATGCCTATAGACCTGCTTTGTCCATTGAAATGAAGTAGAAGAAAGCACTATACAACCCCAAAACAGTGGCAGGTTTGGAGCATAATAGTTGCAGCTAAACAAAGCCATCTGAATTTAGTGCATTGGAATTACTATCACGGTGAAAAAGTGCAGTGACGTTTTCTCTTATTAGCAGATCTTCCTGTGCAATTTCAAAATATAATGACTAGGATTCTGAAATAAATTAAGAAAGTTCATGGGGGAAAATGTTTGGCCCTTGGTCACCCTGGCAGCCATATGCACCCCTAAAAGGGATCTCCAAATTATAGGGAAACCCTCCTGAACCATGGGGCACTGGGGTACTGCTTGTTGGACCAATTTGGGGCAATTTGTTATCTGCCCCCACCCCAGCAGCTCCAGTTCCATATTTTGAGTGAAGGTGCATATGGCTTCAAGGATGGAGGAGGGGACAGGCAACCTTTTTTCTGTGAACTTGCTTAGCTTGTTTTCAGGATAATTATTATCATTATTAAGGGACGCGGGTGGCGCTGTGGGTTAAACCACAGAGCCTAGGACTTGCCGATCAGAAGGTTGGCGGTTCAAATCCCCGCGACGGGGTGAGCTCCCATTGCTCGGTCCCTGCTCCTGCCAACCTAGCAGTTCGAAAGCACGTCAAAGTCCAAGTAGATAAATAGGTACCACTCTGGCAGGAAGGTAAATGGTGATCCCGTGCACTGCTCTGGTTCGCCAGAAGCGGCTTAGTCATGCTGGCTACATGAGCTGGAAGCTGTACGCCGGCTCCCTCGGCCAATAAAGCGAGATGAGCAGCACAACCCCAGAATCGGCCATGACTGGACCTAATGGTCAGGGGTCCCTTTATTATCATTATTATTAAATTTGTATACTGCCCTTCACCCGAAGATCACAGGACGGTTCACAAAATAAAAACACAAAATGGACACTCACCCCTTCCACCGGGCGGGCGATTGTTGCAGATCCTCACGCTTGGTCGCCATCCCAGGGCGGTAAAACAGAACGCACATGGTCAGGCAGCCATTGAGGGAATTCCCCTTGGCCACGTAGGTAGCTGGCTCAAGTTCCCGTCAGCTGCTGCAGTTCAAAATTGGCCAATGAGTGGCCTCCTCAGGGGTGGGGCATGCCTTGCTGGCTGAAAAGGCATAGGCTGCATGTCTGCCTGGGCAGTTGCCAAGGCATAAAAGCCAGAAGTGCTTTCCTACAACATAAAAATAAAAAAGGAGAACACAAAATACATAATAAAAACAAACCAATCTCTCTCCTTCCCACAGACATGTTTAAAATGACATAGAATCTCTATACTTAAGCTTTTGGCTGATTAAGAAAACATTTTCACCTGGCATCTAAAGATATATGTAAGAAAGGTGTTGGGCAAACCTCCCTGAGTAGAGCATTTCACAAACGGGGAGCCACCGCAGAAATGTATCTTGCAGCTTGCATAATTCAGGCAAGACTCACTAAATCAGTATCTTTCCTCCTGAAGCAGCCCATGTTTCAAACAGTTGACTGATTGCCAGGGCAGGTTTGCTTGTTACTTTAGTGTGCGTGCTGCCACCTCTCAGATTTCTCCCTCACTCCTCCAGCAATGTGCGCAACTTCCCAAACTTCACGGTTGTGCACATTACTGGAATCACAATGGGCGAAACCACTAAGAAGTAATTTTCTGTTATTGATATTGTTTTATCATCCAAATTAATTATTGTAAATCACGTTGAGCATTTAAAAATAAAATAAAAGGCAATAAATAAATTTCAGTGGCAGCTAAGCTACTTGGAGGAACATGTAAATCAGGTCTCTGACTGGATAGCAGCACAATTCTGCCACAGTAGGAATCTATGGTTTCCTGTTACATGAACAGGCTATGACAAGCCTGAAAATCCCCTGCTCCCCCACTCCTAAAGGAGATCAGAAGCAACTACCTCTAGTTTTAAATCAATCAGCATTCTCTGTGACTTCTGAACTGGGAAAACTATGGTTTGTTTAAACTATCGTTTCAGAACAAGCCAGGGTTTGAAACCATCATCTGATCTTAGCTTGTTCTTCTTAACCATAGCTTCAGCAAATCACAGTTCAAATACCATGGGAAACTGTGGTTTGTTTTAAACTGAAAGCAAAATTTTTCAATCTTCTCACAGGAAGGTCAGAGGAGAAGGCAGTGCACCAACTTGAGGCTCATTATGCTTTGTTCTCACAGCAGAAACCATGGTTTCCTCTTACACCTGAGCTGGGTTGAATATTTTGTCAAAATATCAACATATAAATTCAAATATACTTTAAAGTAATTTTTGTTATATTAGCTAAGGGGTATCCAACATGATGCTCTCCAGATGTTGGACTATATTTCCCATCATCCCTCTCCATTAACCATGTTAGATGGTGCAGATTTTCCAGAGCCTAACAACGGCTAGAGGGAAAAAGGCTGGCTAATAAATTTCCAGACAAACAAACAAACAAACTAACTAACTAACTAACTAACTAACTAACTAAATAAATAAATAAATAACCTATGAAGTCATAGGAGACAATGAACAGTAAGATGGTGTAGTCATTTAGTTAGCAGAACAAGAGGGCAAAGTGTGAAACGGGAAGCATTCAGTTTATGGTTGAATTTCAGTATGAACTTTCAGAGACTGTTTGGTTCCCTGGAAGTAAAGACTCTCCCCTATATTATGTGTAGCCATAGATTTATAACCATATAAAATGAAAGAGAGGACAGAGGATTTGAAGGCTTTATAACTGAGCTCTAAAATGATCTCCAACTAGATGAATTTCCCTTTTGACATTTATGTGTTTATTTGTTAGTTGAAATGCCACACTGTTAATTTTAAGCTGGAAAATGGGCACCTCAAGATAATGCATGGATGTGAAAAGACTCTTGTCCCAGGCAATCAGAGCAAGTGTGGTCGTAACCAGAACTGAGCCTCCTTTCTCTGTTCTGCTCTCAGAGCAACTGCACCTCCCTACATGAACCAGATGTTTAGGGAAACATCTGGCTTGGCAACTGGACCAAGAGACCAGTTCTAGGGCTTACCCAAAGGTTTCTGGGTTGTACAGCCAGCCCACCAGCACTCCCTAGTTAACTCATGCCCCCTTTGAAAGTCTCACCCTGTTGAATCAGGCAATGCAGATGGACATCAGGCAAAACCAGATGAGTCCAAATAACAAGGGAGAATTGAAAGGATCCTGTTGAAATTGGGGAAAAAGCTTGCCCAAAAACAAACAAACAAGCCCTTCAGAATAAGTTGTGCCCATCACAGCAGTGTTACCAATTCACCAAATTCAAAGAATAACAGGCAGCTAAGGATTTCACTAAATCTGGTAGGGAAGCAGCCTCCCAACTGCCTGGGCATTATTCATAGCCTCCTTGTCATTGGATACACCCATCTCAATGTCTGTGTTCCCACAATCAGTCAAACATCTAAGGAGGTAAAGTTAGCTGCATAATTAGACACAATATGTTCCCAACTCTCCAAGAGGTTACAACAGTCAGGTATAGTAATATTTTAACAAGGAATGGGGAACCTGTATCCCTCCAGATGTTGAACCCAAATTCTCATCAGCTCAAGCCAGCAGGGCCAATAGTCAGAAATGATGGCAGTTGAAGTCCATCAATATCTGCAAGGCCAAAGATTCCTCACCCGTTTTAAGTGCTCACTACATGGATTCCTCCATCTAGCACAGCATCACCATAATGGAATAACATACAACAGCATCCTATTGGTAAAGGATAATAATATATTCCACCCTTACCTTCGTAGGGTGCGAGTGAAATACAATAGAAATTACAGGAAGAAGTGGGAGTAGCAGGGCTGTTAGAAATTCTCTTGATCTTTTTGACCGGCTAGCTGGTCACTTGAGACATGTAGTATTTTAACTTTTGATGCAGCTTGGTTGAAGAAACACTTTTTTTTATTTTGCCTTCATTGCATTTTGATGTGGCTTGGCTGTATGACTGAATTTATGTTCTGCAAATGAAGAATGGATAAAACTAGTTATCAAGTTCAAACACCGCAGGAGTTGGAAGCAAACTTCAGGTTTCAAGTTGAATCAGGATAGGGGAAGGTTGGCAGCTAGGTTCAAGTCTGCTCTTTAAAATATTAAATATCAGACTGCCTTAAAAAGAAATCAGTGTAATTTGCAAACATTTTGTATTGGTTCCCCCTTTTTACAGGCCACAATAACCAGATGTATCATTCCTGCATCTGTGGTCTCAAATACAGGAGAGATTGTCATACTCCATCCTTTCCAAATGGCATCCCCATGCATTTTGTTTAGAAATGGCAAGAGGTTGCAATGAATTCTTCTTTTACTGCTTCCAAGTTCTGCTTGTGTTGGTGCTGAATAATCGTGGGCACAGCATTCAAGAGAAACCCTTTGACATAACATGAGATAGATGCCCATTTAGGATCTCAGAGCTTGGATCACAAGAGTAGGTGGTAGTATTTATGTTTTAATGTTTTTGAAATAGGGAGAGATTCCTGAATCACAGCTGACAATGTCACTTGGCTGCCCACACATTAGCCTTGACCTGGAACTGCATGCTTGCTTAAAATCTGGCACCACTTTATTCATGGGTCTCTCTTCCAATTGCCTGGTTATCCATCCTATTCATGGAAGCCCCATGGCCCAGTAGTGTAGAGCCACAAGTTGGGAACTTTACACTGAATCTAAGGAAAATATTGGATAAATATTTTCTGTCAGGCCTAGTTGCATTCTGACCAGGGCAAAGAACCTGAACATGTGAAAATTTCAGAGTGACTGATGGGGAGGATAAGGTACGAGCTCCTCATTTAATAGGTAATTCATGTGCCAGAGGATTGCAAAAGCCCATCACAAATTACAGCAAGTCCACCATTCATCAGTTTATAAACCTGTTACATGCAATAATCTGTAGGAAGCTCCTTCAGGCCAATGATCCATTTCTCCCAGAGCTGTCTATAACCAAGCTGCAGGAGTGGTTGGCATACTGAGGTGATGTTGCAGAGCTGCTTACCTGGATGAGGCAGGGCAAGATGGAGCTGTGTTGATATACTGGTGGAGCCAATCCTGGTCTCCTGCCACAGTGTCCCCACAAAGCCCTGGCCTCACCTTTGCCCCACACCTGCACCACCCAGGTGAGCAGCATTGATGCCCATGTCGGGAGGGTGACTCCATGGCACTGCCACACCTCACCAGCTGCTTCCGCCTAACTGGCAAGGAATTTTTAAGGGCTCAAGCACAGTCCTTCCGCAACCCTGCTACACGAGAGCTGTAGCTGGCAGGAATTAAACATGGGACTTTCCATATTCCATGCATGTCCTGTACCCCTGAGCTAGGTCCATGTTCTTAAAGAGCATCCCTGAAGTATGGCAGCCTGCCATTCAGTAGCCACTTACCAGTAGTCCAAGGAGAAGGTAAGATCAGGCCTCCAGCAGAGTTGAATGGGGAGCCACGTGAATTGCTTAACCAGGTACAACCCCGCTTCTCCAATATGATTCTTCTTGGATCATGCCAAATACCAATAACATAATAATGTTCTTCCTTTTACCTGAAAAGTTTTTTCAAGAGGAGGAAATG